AATAGAGTTATTCAAAATAAGATCAATACTACAACTTATTTTGTGTAGACAAACTCAAAAAGGTGAATATGTCGTATCCATAAGTTTTGTTTATGACTCCATTAATTTATGTGCTTCTAAAATTAGTATTGATTTACCAGTTGGAGTTGAAAGTGCATAAAATGCATTTCATCTTTGAGTTAGAGACGAAGACATAATTTGACGTTCCGAAGGGGGATTTATTTTGTTGCTGTGAAGAGACAATAAAATTAAGCAAAAACAATAATCAAAATAAATTTTTAATATTATCAAAGCATCAATTTGAGTTTTATCAATAAAAGGATTAAGAAACCATATTGAAATTACAGAATTGAGAATTCATAAGATAAAAGTTAATGTGAGATTAAAACTGAAATTAAAATATGCTCCCTCTGAGTTTCGAACACATAATCTGATGGATGGGATAGAAGGATTCCAGCCACTGGGCTAATTTACTTTCGTTTTACAATAATGTACAGTAAACCATTTTATAACTTATCAGTTTATACGAAATTTTCAAATAGCGATATAGTTTATACGTAAGTTCTGAAATTCTGGGGGGCCGGGGCCCCTCGAGCCTATGTGTAGATCCGCCCCTGCGTGTCCACCACCGGCGCTTCTTCAGATGGTTAATACGGTTAAAGTTCAGCCACACCACACTAAACTGGACACAAAAACCCTTTTTTAACAAATAAATTAAATTTGTTTTTGTATAAAATTACCGTACATGAAAAATGATATGGTACAAAATCCAATTATGTAAAACCTGTGAAATTCTGTCGTAGGATCATTGATACGAATATCACCTCAGGAGGTGATAAATAGGGTATGTTGGCCGGTACAATCGAGTTCGATCAAATATCGGTTACAAAATCAGCTAGAATATCTCCGGTATGATCTATTTTCGAATTTTAAACAAAATGATAACAAGCATATGGTAGGGCTGGGCCTGTGCAAACTTCAAGCCCATGAGTCGGATTTCGTTTGAGGGGGCGTTAAGGAAGTGGTTAAGCACCATACACGGGCCTGTATAAAATCCAGCATAATCTTCAAGCCCATGAGTCAGATTTCGTTTGAGGGGGCGATAAGGAAGTGGTTAAGCACCATACTCGAGTTATTGAGATCAAGTGGTTTACAACATGATATCAGAGCCTAATTCAAAAACCTAATAAAAAAAACCCAAAAAACTTCCTTCTTACCCGCCGCCCACCATGAGTGCACAATCGCCCGGAAACTGATCATTGTTCATGCTGTTGAATGTTGATCCAATCTCTTTTCCTTGTTATTGTTCCTCCATTCCATAAGTTCCGTGGTTTATTTGTCCAAGTTCGTCGCTGCTAATCAACTCTGTTGGTTGGCAAGAATAACAATTCCCAGTGGTCATCAAGTTTTGGTCGTCGTCATGTCTTCGTCGTGTCTCCCGCTTCGCTTCGTCAGGTCTACACGCCATGTTCCCATGCCCACTTATCAGCTCCAGTCTATTAGGTACCGACCCAAAATTGATACCGCCTTGTGAATGAATCAATGAACGCTATTGGAATTTTTGATATCTCTTCATCAACGTGATACAAATTTAGCTCTTTGCACTTCTGGATTGATGGGCTATGGTAGATTGCAAAAGGTTTTCCGTTGGAATCGTTCAAGTTCGTCTCGGTTTGGTACAACCATGGGTTTCGTCCCTGTGGTTGCTTTGTTTCGGTCATGGAGGTGTTGTTCGGAACACCTTAGTTTGAGATATTGTTCGGAATATCTCAATTTGATAAATGTTGTTTGGAGTTGGTTTCGTTTATGTTTCGATGATGCTATTCGGAGCATCCTAATTGCCATGTTGATGTACGGAGCACGTGGTTTTGTTTCTGTTTAGATGATGCTATTCTGAGCATCCTGATCGTTCGGAGCATGTGGTTCTGTTAGTTCGACGAACTAGACGACTTTGACAAGACCTTTTGTTATCTCTAGCTTATCACCATCGACGTGTCACGAGGCATTGGACATGGTCTTCATCGACATCAACATATTTGGCGGAGCAGTTATGTTTTTCATTGTTTTTTTTTCGGTCACATTGTTCGTAGTAGTTTGTGTCGTTTGTTTCGGTTTTCAAATTGTTGGTAAGTAATTACCATCAATTTGGGGAGTGTATTGGAGTATGTGTAATACGAGTAGTATTATGTTATACTACGAGTACTGTTATGTAATTGGTCAGGGTTATATTCTTTATCAGAGTCGTATTAGTATTAGCGTTATTATAGAAGTCAGTCTCTGTACTCTATATAAACTCTATGCGGTTTCAGTAATAATACACAAGAGTTTTCACGGTATTTTGATTTCCCAACAGACATTGTGGTGAATTTATTTAACAAAAAATAATAATTTTTTATTTGTTTCTTAAATTTGAAAGTTAAAGTTGTTATTTGTTGGATTTAAGTGTGAATGTTTAGACTTTAGATTTTCATGTTATTATTTGAATTAAATTATAAATTTTGGAAGTCAGCATTAAATATAATTTTTCATTTTGTTTGGAATGTTGTATTTTATTTATATATGAATTTATATTTTAAATAGATTTTTTCGGTAATTGATTTTTACAAATATATGTTTTATATATAAATTCATTTAGTGTTAATAATATCCCACTTCCTTGCATGTTTTTGCTAAGATCGACATGAATTTATATAAACTTATTGTATCACCAATTTAACCATACCACTTACCAAACCTACGTCACTTTATAAAACGATTTGACAAACTTCACGATAATACACAAATTTTTTGGATTTGTAGCCTTGAATAATGTAACATAAACCAGCCCAAATTAAATCGATTCTCAAATTGTTCCCACTTGTTAACTTGGCCGTCCTCTTGCAGCATTGGCTATGAAAATTAGGCGAAGACACCAAGAAGAAAAGAGAGAAAGAAAGAAACCAAAACAATATTCGTAATTCTGGAAAAATCAGCCTTTTTCTGAAGGGTCCCCAGCATTTGCAGCAGCATCCATCCACCACCCCATTTTTTGGCAAATCCTCCCCGTGAATTTTCCTTTTCACATCCATCTCGTGATACCCAATTGTCGATTTTTAAGTCGCTATTTTGGCTTAACAAGCAATTATGAAGTTTGAAAGAAAAAAAAAAATAGATGTATGTTCAAGTACAGTATGGATAGAAACTCTAGATCCAATTGTGTTTTCGACATTTCATGGTTTTCGAGACCCTATCTAGATGTTATGCTTAACAGGTTCGATTTAGGTGTTCGATGATTCTTGATTCGTTATTGTCCCAATCAGAGGGTATGCAATCTAATTTGAATTGTCAAATTGGGTTATTTGTTCATTTTTTATATGTATCCGGAGATATATTGAATGTTTAGATCATGCAATTCACTAGTTTAAAGGTGGGCTTCACGTGATAAATATTTTCAAAATTGTGACGAATGAAGTTTATGATTCAAACTTGGACAAAACACCACCATTAGGAAGAACTGAAAAATAATTTTTTGGACGATTGTTAGTCGAAGATTCAAATTCAGGGGTCAAGAATGCTACTGTTCTCACTTTATTATCAGGCTGACTCGTTGGGGGTTCAAACTTAACCATGTTGATTGTTTTATGGGATCGTTTACATGAGCTTTTTTACAAATGGGTTTTAAGTGATTGGTCGAATTGATTAAATTATGAAAAAAATAAGAAGAAATGAGTCATTTTTGAAGAATTTCCCTCCTTGCTCAATTGTTTTCAAATATCCAATGGAAAGAAATGACTCATCGTTGTTAAATATGGTATTATGCTCCGAATCAATTAATTAAGTCATTGTGTACAAAATGACTCGCTTGAAACTCTTCGTAAACTATTTTAATATTTTTTCATAGAACTAATCGATGTCTATGTCTTGGCTTGCTTTTGATTCTTAGATTACACTTGGGGTTAACCTTAGACAAAGTAAGATTTTTTTGTTCTCGTAGAGCTACCTTAAATTGATTTTAATGTTCAATTTGGTGTGGAACCGAGCTGGATCAGCCGTTCAAACTTTGAACCCATCTTCTGGTTTTTACCTAAAGTAAAAGTTAGAACTAAAGATAAAGCAAATCCCAATGGTCAAATGGCGCCATAATCCGGCACCCTAACCCAACCTCCTTCCCCTTGTTTCCACCTGACTTTTGTTTTCTTCCCATTTTGGTTCCATAATCTAAATACCCCAAAACTAGAAAAATAAAAAAAAATTAACTCAACATTTTTAGAAGGGAAAGAAACAATTAACTTTTGATGGGTGATTATTATTACTAAGCTTCCTTCCTCTTGGGTTTTCAAATTAAAAGGCCCATAATAAAAGAAGCCATTCTCGAAGAAGAAGAGCAAACAAAGGAGAATATATTTTTTAATTTTAGCATAAACTAGGTTGACAACTTTACTATTTGCTAATATGAATGCAAACTATTAAATGCACCAAAATTTAGCAAAAATATTAATAATAGAAAATAGCAAGGCCTCACAATGAAAGGGATGAGGTATAGAATCTGGTGGGCTTTGAGCTGTGATATAGTTGTCCTTTGTTATTTGCATTATTTCCTTCCCCCCTTCCCTCCTCTCCCATTCTCCATTCCCTTCTTCTTCTTCGTAGCCTCATCACTTTTCTTTCACACATCTCCATAATCCCTAGAGTTCCATTAAAACCCTTATCTCCCTTTTCTCTCTCCTCAACCCCCCAAAAAACCCCACATTTCCCCCTCCTCCTCCTCCTTCTTCTCCATTCTTCTCCATCATCTCCTCCCCATTCTCAGATCTCGAAAAATCCCCACTACCCAGAAGCCAAACCCCATTTCTCCACCCAACCCATTTCTCCAAACAGGCCAAAGATTCAAGCTTTGGCTCCTGTTTGAGAGGAAAACAGAGAAAGAGCCATCTGAACTTGAAATCCCCTCTGTGGCAGTGGTGGGAAGTAAACATACTCATTAGTAGCTACAGTTGCAGTAGATGTGGCTCATGTGAGATATGAAGAAGAGGAATACCAATTTCTTCTTCCTCCTCCTTGTGATTACCCTTTCCCTCCTTCCTTCCCTTTCCCTTTCCGATGAAGTAGCATCAGAGATCCCACCGGCCATTTCCAGCCGCGGAACCCTCACACATGCCGAGGTTTCCTACCTCCGCCGGCGGCAGCTCCTCTACTACAAGGACGCGGCCGGCGACCGCGGGGAGAACATCACCATCCCGCCCGGCTTCGTCTTCGAGAACTCCAGGCTCCGCGATGCTTACATAGCATTGCAGGCCTGGAAGCAGGCGATTATCTCCGACCCGTTCAATGTCACCGGAAATTGGACCGGCCCAGATGTTTGTACATACGAGGGTGTGTTCTGCGCTCCGGCGCCGGACAACAAGACCATCCGTACCGTCGCCGGCGTTGACCTCAACCACGCCGATATCGCCGGTTACCTGCCGGAGGAGCTCGGGTTGCTGCGAGATCTAGCGATTTTCCACATCAATTCGAATCGGTTCTGCGGTATGGTGCCTCGGACTTTCAAGATCTGGAAGCGGCTCTACGAGCTGGATCTCAGCAACAACAGATTCGCCGGCCCTTTCCCCAATGTCACTCTGCAGATGCCCAAATTGAAGTTCTTGGATCTCCGATTCAACGAATTCGAAGGCACCGTCCCCAAAGAGCTCTTCGATAAGGATCTGGATGCGATTTTCATCAACCACAATCGATTCCGCTTCGAGCTGCCGGACAATTTTGGGAACTCCCCTGTTTCCGTCATCGTGCTGGCGAACAACAATTTCCACGGCTGCGTTCCGGCGAGCTTGGGGAACATGACGAATTTGGAAGAGATCATCATGATGAACAATGGGTTCCGGTCCTGCTTGCCGCCGGAGATCGGGCGGCTGAGGAATGCGACGGTGTTTGATGTGAGCTTTAATCAGCTGATGGGTCCGTTGCCGGACACGATTGGAGGGATGGTGAGCTTGGAGCAGCTGAATGTGGCGCACAATTTGTTGTCCGGGCCGATTCCGGGGGCGATTTGTCAGCTGCCGAGGTTGCAGAATTTCACTTACTCGGATAACTTCTTCACCGGAGAGCCGCCGCAGTGTTTGGCCTTGCCGGCGTTTGATGACAGGAGGAATTGTCTGCCGAATCGGCCTGCGCAGAGGGCGGCTGGGCAATGCCGGGCGGTTTTGTCGAAGCCGGTGAGGTGTAGTGCTTTTAGATGTGCTCCTTTTGTTCCTCCTCTGACGCCTCCGTCGCCGCAGCCTGTGTATTCACCTCCACCTCCGGCTTACTCTCCGCCGCCACCAACTCCATCAGTCTACTTGCCTCCACCACCACCAGTCTACTCTCCTCCACCTCCATCACCGTCGCCGCCACCACCGGTTTACTCTCCACCGCCTCCTCCTCCATCACCACCACCGCCGTCACCGCCACCACCTGTTTACTTTCCACCGCCTCCTCCTCCATCACCACCACCGCCGTCGCCGCCACCACCGGTTTACTCTCCACCACCTCCTCCTCCTTCACCTCCACCACCGTCTCCGCCGCCACCATCTCCATCCCCTCCGCCACCATCGCCGGCACCACCATCCCCATCACCGACACCTCCATGTACCCGTCCCCCACCACCTCCACCACCAAATTCACCACCACCGCCGCCTCCACTCTTCTCCCCACCGCCACCGCCAAACCCTTACTACAGCAGCCCACCACCACCAAATTCCCCTCCTCCACCATCTCCGCCGCCTCCTGTTTACCCCTACCTATCCCCTCCACCTCCCCCGCCGCCGGTATACCTTCCCCCACCACCTCCCCCATCTCCCCCTCCTCCCCCGCCGCCATGTATAGAACCCCCACCCCCACCTCCACCTCCACCGCCATGTGTGGAAAATCCACCACCAGCAATACCACCGTACAAACCACCACTGTCTCCATCCCCACATCCGCCAGTCTTCTACTCATCCCCACCACCGCCAATTCATCACACTTCCCCTCCGCCGCCAAAATTATACAAGAGCCCGCCTCCTCCACCGCCAGAATACATGGGGCCATTGCCGCCAGTAGTAGGAATCCCATACTCATCCCCTCCACCACCGCCTTACTATTGATTCTTTTGAGAATTCCCTCTTTCTAACTCTTATCATCACGAAGTGACAAAACCAAAAAAAAAAAAAAACAAAACAAAAAATTGGGGACTTTCGTTTCAGCATCAACAACTACAAGAACATCATTCTTCTTCTTCTCTTCTATTATTACTCTTTTTGTGGGGGGCAATTCTCGTGCTTCAGTTTGAGAGATGGAAATAAAGAAGTAAACTTTCAGGTATCATCAACAAAGGGTTACAGACAGAGTTCCAAGTTTCTCCTCCGGCGACAAAAATGGCGCAATCAATCTTCTGCTTCATATTACTTTATGATGTCTAGATATCATATTCATACTAGTAAGATGGGGAAAATATTCTCAATAGATTTATTCGATTTATTCGTACCAAATTGAGTCGTAAAGAAGAATAATAAGGTATTTTGACTATTTTCATAGAGAGTTAGAGAAAAACTTGCAGTGGGGAAAGTTTGTATGTATAGAAGGGTGGGCGTGGGGGATTGGGATGCAGAGACACCATGATCAGAGAAAAGAGATATACAGCTGCTAGGATGGATAGCATTTTCAATGTTTCCTTTTTATTTTCTTATATTTATATCATACTTCTTCTTGGTTTTATTTTGCTTCTCTTTTTGTTGGCCAATTCTTATCATATATAGATCATGATGAACCATTTTTACTTGTATTTTGATTCTTCTCCTGATTTCAGGTGTCAATTCAATCTTCTTCTATCTGCTTGGTTTTCTGGTATGGTGTTCTTGGTCTTGTAGAAATAATGCCATGTTCTTCCGTGCAACCTCTTCATCCTAGCGATAGTTGTTTGCACACTCTACTTGGTGAATTCAATTCGTATCAGTAGCTCGAATTCTTAGTAGCAAACATTTCTCGCCCGAATCAGTGCTAGATACTGTCTAGCAATGTGTGAGATTGTGCAGTTGTGATGGGAGAATATATCCACTTCTATTGTGCATAGAGGAGAATACGAGTAACGTGATTAGATTGTGTGTCTTGAATATTCGACGACTGTGGTTGGTAACCACTGCCTAGTGGCGGGCAATTCTATTTCTCTTGTTTTACTTCCTTGATTGGTGGTGGTGGATGGATTGATTTGCGGGAACTGGGCAGCTGGTTTGAATGGGGAAGCACTTTTTTAAATGTGATGGTGAGGGAGACTTTGTTGCGATTAGGATATAGCATGTGCTCGCCATTGATGGGAGTTTGAAATTTTTTGAAACAGAAAGCAAATTAAACAGCTTTTTCTATCCATTTATCTTTAAACATTTAAATTCCTTCCAGGCAGAGGCAGGCAGGCTCCCTCGTTGGGTTTTGGGAATGAGGCTTGTTGACTTGGATGGTTCAGTTATTTCTCATAAAAGAAGTCAAGAAAAAGGAAACTAGAAGCTCTGAGAAAAGGATTTAATAGGGGCGGGGAGTCAGACGGGTAGAAATTAATGAGGTGTCGTTTGGAACCTTCGATTCTGGAAATTACGAGAATGTGTGATTTTGAAAATTCATTGTCTGGAACCCATACAAGAATTCATGAATTATAGTTTAAATGAACTATAGATACTAAAATCTCAACAAAAAAGGTAAGATTATGAATACATCATTTTCTATGTATTAGGAACACAACAAGGATTATTAATACATGCATTCTATTATAACATCAAGTCAAAAAAACGTTGTATTCTCATAATACATTTATACTGAGAACACAACATCTGGAATCGAAGGTTCCAAACATTGTATTCTCAGAATGGCAAACAAACATGCTTGCTGGAGCTCCACCTCTGACTAAAAGTCTGAAACCAGCAAACAAAGCTTAGGAAATACACTCTACCAGGTTACATGTTGCTTCGGCCTAGCTTAACATTGGTGTGACGCGATTCGGATTAGGCAATTTTCGGGTGGGCGGGTTACAACATTGCACGAAGGTTTTTGGCTGAACAGTTTAGAACAATATTCAATGGTCAAGTCAGCAGTAAGTAGATGGAAAAGGGAGAAGAAATAGTTTAGAATGATAGATACTCTGTGGGTGGTTCATGGTTGGAACGTTAAGTTTGCATCAGGTTCATTCTTAGATCGTGACAGATGGTGCAAGTGTGTTGTCGATGTACCTTGTCATGTCATATGGGGCGTTTTGTGGGGATGCTTATTAAACCATCTGAAATCTCTAGGTTTTTAACCTAATTTTGGTTATCGTCTTATCGAATAGGCCTCGGTGTTGCGCTTTCATATCCTCAGAGCCTTTAAACTCGAAATTAGGCTGGTCATATTCTTATCCGAACAATTGGCTCCATTTTCCTGTAGTGCATTGAATATGTTGGGCCACTCCAGGAGCATTAGTTGGATCAATTCGAAATTCTCTATCCAAAATTGTTACATCTAAATTTAATACCGTCGAACGAGTTAATTTGACATAATTATCTCAAAACATAAGCTAAGTGGGTCGAGACTCGAGAGTGAATGGTGGAAAAGAACGGTAGTGAATCTCTCCAAATGGCACTGCAGACAGCCAATCACAATCTTTACTTGCCCAGGTTTATAAAGGTAAATACTTCCCAATGGGGACCTTCCTCGAAGCGCAGGCACGTTCGCGGCCTTCATGGGGTTGGCAAAGTATTCTTTTTGGGCGGCAATTGCTTGAGCAGGGTTTACGTTGGCAGATTGGCAAAGGGGAGTCGGCATCTTTGCTGTTCTCAAATTGGATTCCTCGTTTGCATCCTGAGAAGCCGGTCTATAATCCACAGGTACTTCCTGTTGGGGGTGACCCGGTGGTGGCGGAAGTTATGGATCAGGAAGGTGGGGGGTGGTGTGATTCTAAGTTAGGCCAATGGTTTGACCCTCCAACATGTCGATTGATTAAGTCTATTCCTCTTCCAAGGCAGAATATGGCAGATAAATTGATTTGGCATGGTACGCCTGATGGGGTGTTCACTGTCAAATCTGCCTATCATTTGGCCGTTGACCAAGCAAGGAGGAATAGTGGTTGGAGGGATACGGTTAATTGGATGGATAGAGCCAGTTGGATTTGGCTGTGGAACGCGGATATTCCCCCGAAATTAAAAGTTTTCGTTTGGCAAATTTTTCATCGTATCCTTCCTACTACTGAGGGTCTCGTTGAAAGAGGTGTTCCTATTCTTCTTCGTTGCCCAGTTTGCTGGGAGGCTCCAGAAACTATGGAACATCTCTTCTTGGACTGTCCGGTGGCTCGGGCTGTCTGGGATTACTCAGGGCTTGAACATCTGGGCCAAGGCTTGCCTCGCCACACTTTTCCTTTGTTTCTCAAACGACTGTTCGCCTTAATCCATCAACCTCGTATGGTGATGGCTGTGGTAGCAGCTCTTTGGAGGATTTGGAAATCGCGTAATTGGGTGATTTTTGAGGGGAAGCAGTTTGGGTTCCCTGTCTTGATGCGGCAGTTCAATCAACAGTGTGATGAATGGGATAGGGTACCGTCTGATAAGGCAGTGATGAGGCCTGATCCAGTTGCCCATCCTCCAGGAGATTCGGGGAGTACCTCGCTGATATGCATGTGGGACGGGGCTACTAGGGCAGGATCTCACTCTGCGGGTGGTATGGTACTCCTTGATCAGCATAGGGTTGTCCTCTGGGCGCAAGGAATCCAATTTCAGGGTATTGATGATCCTTTGGTGGCAGAGGCGCTTGTCCTTAGGGAAGCTCTCTTATGGTGCGTGAGTAATGGATTTCAGGAAGTACGGGTTGAAGGAGATGCCAAGTTCATCATCGATAAGATCAATCAAGCGGATATTTGTGATAGTAGGATTGGGATGCTCTTGGCCGACATTATGCAATGTTTAGGGCATCAGCAGGGTTTTAGTTTGCGGTTTGTAGGACGGAGGAACAATAGGGTAGCCCATGTGGTGGCTAGGAAAGCCCTTTCTTTGTACCCGTCTACGTGTCGCTCTTTCAATTTCCAGTCCTGACTGTTCTCCAGGATGTAACGTTGCCTATTCTTTGATCAATATAAGATTATCTTTTGTCAAAAAAAAAAAAAAAGACAGCCAGTCACAATCCGACGGTCAACTTTTACTCACTGCAACTGCTTTCACCCAAAACAAAACAAAACAAAAGACCGCAAGCACCGCAAGGCAGTTTTTCAGATATAGATAGATGCAAACCAAATCCAAATGGCTTTGTTTCTACCTCCCTCCCTATTAGAAAAGGAAAAAAGGTTGCCATGGAAATGGAATTCTCGTGCACTTGCTCTGAGAAAATTCGGAGCAGCCAATAGTGAAATGGAAAATACTACAGGAAGTACTAGTCAATCAGTCATTTTCCGAATGCCAGAAGGGGACCCCTTGCATCGTTCTGGAGACAGAAGTTTTTCCTCGTCAATCTAGAGATGGAATGGATAGGATGATATTATCCCAAAATTCTGTGCCTTCTCTTGAATTTTGTGGCCAATTTGATAGATAAATCATGGATGGATTGTCTAGGGATCTCCTCCTCCCAACTTGGCAATTATTATAATTCATACTTCATTTGAATCTATACAAACAAATCTTCAATCAAAATGGAAATTGTCATGTAACTTTTCTTTAATATACGATAGTAAACTTATTGTGTGTTTTTTTTAATGAATTCTCCTTCTTTGATGGAGAAAATTTGCGAAATATCCAACCTGTAGGACTTAGGTCTATCTATGGGTAGGGGTGTTCAAATGGTTACCGTGGTCAT